CTTTAGGTTTGTAGAAGATTCATCAACTGAGTTTAAAACACCAAACATATTCTTAGAACCAGCTAAAATTTATTTTTCTTTTGCAAGTCTTCCTCGACCACATTTTGGGTTTAATGACTGAGTATATTGTTTGACATTATCAGAAGGACCAACAGCATCAGTATGATCAGTAGACTTATGATGGGCGTCAGAAGTTGAGTCAGTGATCACTTCAGGGGGAATAGTAGAAACTACAGCAGACTCAAGACAAATTGTATCAGAGACAGTTCCAACCTCAAGAGCCACCATCAGATGGGGTACCAACTAATGATTCATCCTTTTTCTTCCATACTTGGGTAACAGTAGGAGCAGAAGATGATTTCACCAAGAAGCCCTTATCAGTATGGCCAAATACACTACATTTTCTACATCTTGGTGGCATCCAAGGAACCTCCACATAAATTACAGTGGACTGACCATTCTGGAGAACTACCTCAATTTGACTTGGAATTTCATCATTAATCTCAATTTCAACACACAGTTTTGCAAATTCTAATATAGTCTTCGAAGCAGTAACAAAGTTCATTGATAAGGGGATTCCAATTGCGCTACCAATATAACTAAGACCTATTTGGGGAAAAAGTTCAAGAGGAATATTGAACAAATTCACCCAAACAAGAATTTTAGATAAATCGAAGCTAAGACGTTTAAGGTTCGATTCCCATTTCCTAAGAATCAACGGCTTGTTAAGAATGTGCCAAGGGTCATTCTCAAGCACCCAGTTTCTTGCTTCTTCAGAATTGAAAGAGAATATATAGAGATTATTACCAGCAATACTCACATGAGCTCGGGAGCCATTAAGAGCCTTTTTCCAGAGATTGTCAACGATGCACTGCATTGTGATGAAATTTGGGGTTGGACCGAGAAATTGACCCACTAGAGATAGCTTCCATTCAGCAGAGCCAGCTTCCAGAATCTCTGAGGGTGGGTGAACCGTGGGAACACCATCGCAGAACTTCAGAGGGAAGAAACTTAGGTTTTGTCCAGTAGAGCTTTCAAAAAGCTTCCTCCAATTTATCATCAACCCATAAACAACAATAGAACGAAAGCATAAAGTAACCATGAGAAGAAACAACAGAACCACCGGAGAAACGACGGAGGACACGATGGAAAATCCCAAAAACGTTAGACCTGCTAACATGCACCCAGAAAATGATTATTGTTATAATACATTTTGTTAATATTACTTTTTTGACGAATACAAATTTAAACGTTTTTCAAAAATGTCTCGATAGTCTCTCATCAAACTAAGTTACTTCTATCTATTGAATATATTTTCAATTGATATATAATAATATTTTCATATTTTAAAATATTTTATATATACATTTGGGCACAATGACTATAATTTTTCATATACTCATACTCATATCATTTAGATCATAAAAAAAACAAACATATTTAATTATTAGTAACTAATAATTTTAAAATTTTCATATTTATGTTTTAATCTTATCTCATTCCTTTAGACATATAAGCGTGTCAAACATATACATATAATCATTGAATTGTATAATTCACATCTCAATAATATTATATAAACACACGTATACTTTCACATAAAAAAAATATTGGAAAATATCATTAATCCAAATATTACAACTCTATCAAACTATATTAGATATTATACATATAATATATAAATATAAAGAAAAAATTAAACTTATTCATAGAGCTGGATTAGAATATTTTTCAAAGACGATATTCCCATTGATGTAATGCTATATGAAAATATCATGGAAATATCTTTTAAAATTTTCAAGCAGGAAAATTCAAAATTTTCAAGGCAGAGGAAGGCAAATAAAGACTGAAAAACAAGTAAAATATCCTCACCTATATCGTGCATTAATCATAGGAAAGATCAATTCATCCATACAATAAAGTGGAGCGCCTACCAGATTCACCAAATAAAATAAGTTGCATACAAAATTATTAAAAAAATCTCACTCTCTTATGCATAAAAGGAGCCTTTGCGCCACCATAACGTCCTGTAACTTCTGTTTTGCTTATTTTGCCTCAAAAGCATTCCTTTTCTTTTTCCCGAAACACAAAGTCCAATTCTTGAGTGCAAGTTGTAATGGAGTGGGTTCGAGGGGATACGATTGGGTTTGGGAGTTTCGGTACTGTCAATTTGGTACTACCCAAAACTGGGTTTTCCAAATCTCCTTTAATGGCTGTCAAGTCTTGTGAAATCACCGACTCTGTTTCGCTGAAGAACGAGAAGGAAGTACTTGATCGAATCGGTTCTTGCCCGCAAATCATCCGCTGTTTAGGTGATGATTACACGGTCGAAAAGGGTGGGAAGTTGTATAATTTGTTCTTGGAGTACGCTGATAAAGGGAACTTGGCTGATCAGGTGAAGAAAAGCGGCGGGAATTTGATGGAATCCGATGTTAGAAGATACGCAAGATTGATACTTAAAGGGCTAAGTTTTGTTCATTCAAACGGGTTCGTTCACTGTGATATTAAGCTTCAAAATATTCTTTTGTTCGGTAATGGTGATGTGAAGATAGCTGATTTTGGATTGGCGAAGAGAAATGGGGAAAAAGGAGGAGAAGAACAGAGGAGGGTGGAAATCAGGGGAACTCCTCTGAACATCGCACCAGAATCAATCAATGAAAACGTGTATGATTCAGCGGTAGATATTTGGGCACTTGGATGTGCCATTGTTGAGATGTTTACTGGGAAACCAGCTTGGAATTTCAAACCAGGGACAAACCTGGCGGCTTTGTTGATTAAGATTGGGGTTAGCGATGAATTGCCTGGAATTCCTCAAGTTTTATCTGAGGAAGGACAAGATTTTCTCGGAAAATGCTTCGTTAAGGATCCAAAGAAGCGATGGACGGCTGAGATGCTCCTGGATCATCCATTCGTGGCCGGTGATGATGAGTTCGTTTCACTGACTCGATGCGAAGCAGAAGAAGAATCAACATCCCCAAGATGTTCATTTGAAGAATTCTCAGCTTCACCAAGATGTGCTTTTGAATTCCCAGACTGGGTTTCAACTCAATCAACAGCTTCTTCCCAATCAAGCTCTGTTCCTTCATTCTCCATTTCCTCACCCTGGGATCGGATTCGTAAACTGGCTTGCGATGAAGCAGCCGATTGGACAATTTCAGAGAGCTGGATCACATTGAGGTAGAAGAAAGAAGAAAATTATTAGAGTTTCACAGCCTTCAATCAAATCTGATGGCTTTGATCAAATTGGTGGTGGTTTGTTATATTTTTTAATTGTAAATGATTTAGTAAAAACAGAGAGAAACTGACTTTTTTTTTCCTGGTCAAGACTTCTTATTGGCCACTAAGTTTGGCTACATAGTGTACAGTTGATTCATTAACAAATTCTCAATTCCTTTCCCAACAAATATTAAAAACATGGCATTTTGCAAGATTTTTTGTGGCATGCTTCGGTTCAAGTCTCAAATTTTACCTAATACACTTCATTAAAATAGTATTATATAAATTAATTAAACTGAATTTTGAATTCTGATACTAATGATTTCTCGGCATCCAGAAAATACATGCCTGTCGCCGTAGGATAAAATGATTTGGTTGGATATCATTTGTTCACTCACCAAACTCAATGCGAATTAATAAGGGATTACGAAGGTTAATATCAAAACTAAATCTTGATATTACTTTATTAATATATTAGACAGACACGTGGACACGAGAATGCAAAGAATTGAAGGCATGATAGCCACATTATAAATTAGTGGATCACTTCCACGCACATGATTGGTATGCCAATGCCATTCCAGCAAATGTAGGTATACTAAATCAACGTGTTAAATGTGATTCATAAGTTAACGAATAATAACAACCCAAAATGTCCTCATTTCACGAGTGATGCATACTATTTTGTTGTTTTTGTCTTTGATTATTGCAAGAAAATCAGAGTTGCGTTAACTTGGACATAATTAAGAGTTAGTTTTATACTTTAATTATGATCAAATTGGAATGGCTGGTGTCACTTTGAACTTTGAAGCAAAGGACTGCCAATTTAAGGCATGGTTGAGCTGGCTTGCAGCAAATCTATCAACTTGTATGGGTCCATCAATATATTATTAATCTAATTTGGATCAACACGAGTTTATTTGCAAGAAGAATTGCAGGGATGGAACATTCGATTCAATCTTTCTTGATGCCGACGGGGGCAACTACCCTAAGTATCAAAAGAGGTCAGTTTGAAAAATTTTGAAGATTTTTTTTTTGTTGGTTGAGAGAGATCAGTTTGCATGTTTTTAGAACTAATAGAGATTTAATGGGTATTTTCATCAATTGTGCAATGTACACGCATACAGACCATTTCATTTTTGTTTTAACTCCCTCGAAGTATAGTTATAAACCAGAGAAAATCATGAAGGTGTTAGTAAAAAGCTGAGATTCAGCAATATCTTCAGCTCTAATCTACAGCATGGATCAATATGACAGAACTCAAGTAGCATACAGTTTTGGTTGTAGGCCACAATCCAAATAATGTGAAGAACTTGGGCTTTTTATGGACAGGACAGTCTATTTGAATGGGGTAATTAACCAATTTTGAATGTTATTACTGCTTTATACCAAATCAAGATGACTACTCTTAAAGTTATATAAGAGGATAAATTTCTAAACTTTTAAAAGGGAATGAATTTATAAAATTCTAAGATGAAAGAAAACAGGTTAAATTGTAGGATGAATTTATAAAATTAAAGTTAATAATCCGGTTAGATTTGTTTATAATAATTCCACAAAAATGAATAACGTAAAACAATAGCAAACTTTTAATCTTAATCCTAAAGTAAGGAGAGAATTCTTTTTTTAATCTTTAAAAGGTGACCCAAAATTTAATAATATATTCTGAATATCTAATTACTAAAATAATTTTTATTTTAGTTTACGATAAACTGAAGAAATAATGAGAAAAAACCACGGCCACATCTTCCTTAGTTTATATTGGTCGAGTATAAAATCACAATTGATTACTTTCAACGACCTTTTCTCGGTTTCTTTTTAACGCACGTAAGAAACCAAAGGGAAACTCTCTTGTTTTCCTCTGATTATGGAGCAAGAGGCAGAGATCGATCGTTTGCCGATAGACTTGTTGGCTCATATATTGATGATGATTACTTCTTTCACCGATTTAGCCCAGTAAGCTTCTTTTTAAAAAATAGATTTGGTGTGTGTTGATGATGAGCTTGAAATTCTAATTGTTACGGTTTATGTAGAACAAGTGGAGTTTGTAGGAAATGGAAACAAGGGGTGAAAGAGGCTTTAGCCAGAAGAAAGACTCTGAGTTTTGCTGGTTGTAAAATGGATGATGATTCCACCGCTCGTCTCGTTCGTCATGCTTATAGCCTCAAAGAACTCGATATGTACTCATCTATTCTCTTCTTTGATGCTTCTCTTTGTTTAATACATATTTGTATTATTGTATATATCCTTCAACTATATAAAGCAGACGTTTAAGAAATATACTCGTGTCGAATACTTGCAATACATGAACCAGACAATTCATTGTGTGAACTGGCTAGTACTTGTTGCAAATCCTTGGAATTTATTCGTTACAAGTGTTTCTCAATAGCATTAATTGCCCCATTCCATGACTGATGACCCTTGTGATTCATTGGTTCTAATGGAGAATTAGTCCCCTTCAAAACTGAAGAACAGGCTATATTCAGATATTAGACAAAATAGAAAGATGAGCCTGTTTTTCAATGGCTGAATTTATTTATAGTTTTTCAACTGAAAATTTGGGTTTGCCAAATAACTGACAATGGACTACGCCAAATTGTAGTTCTAGGAGCCGGTGGGGTTGCCAAATAACCGACAATGGACTTTATCAAATCTCATTGGCAAAGTGTGTTAGCAACTTGACATCTATTTCCCTTTGGGGTATTACAGGGATTACCGACAAAGGTGTCGTTCAACTGGTATGTGGTTCCGAGTGTGTTTTGTTTTGCAATGTTTTAACCTTTTCCGAATGATTTTTTCTGGTTCTCAAATGATAATCTGAACAGATAACAAGAGCCAATTCCTTGCAACATTTTAATGTTGGGGGTACATTTATAACAGATGAATCGTTATCCGCCATTGCTGATAGCTGTCCGCGATTAAAGGTGAGTTCCATGTCGATTTTCTCATAAAGTTTATTCATCAGAAAATCATTTGAGGTACTGATTGTTTTGCCATCACCATCTTCTGATATCAGAGTATCGTCCTTTGGAGTTGTCGTCGTGTTACAGAATCAGGGCTGTTTGTTCTTGCAAGTAAATGTCGGAAACTAGAGTCGATCAATGTATGGGGGACCAGAGTTCCTTTAGATTGTTTCATTGGGTTGCTTACCATCCGCCCAGCTCTTCAAATAAAACCACAAGGTTTGCCATTAAATGTCATATTACCTGCTGTATAAGCTGCTCATTCATGTGATCATTGCATTGACAATAGTTGCCTGTACATAATACATTTTTCTGGTATTTTCAATCACTATTATATGAATTTGTCGATTCCATAAATAAAAAGTGTCTTCAAGCTTTGGAATTGAACCATAATCATTACAACTGATTAATGCCTGAAATATTATTGATATTGTTAAAGAAAATCATATTATAGTGTAGCAAATTGCATACATGAACTACTTACTATTCATTACATTGCAAATCTCTCTGGTCACTTCCAAAAATAGGTTCTCATACATCCATTTAATTTTGCCTCAACAGAAGAATCTCAATAGAGCTTTGATTATAATCAAATTGTATTGTCTCTAAACAAGCATTCCTTGACCTTCCACCGAATAAGGCAGGATGCTGTATACTAGGCCTTGAATCAAAAATTTTGCATGCTGACATATTATAAGCCCCCGTAAAACTATATAAGCTATCCTGAGAATTATCGATTATGTTGACAATAACATCCATGCAATAGAAAAGAAGCCAACGGCAAAGCGTTTAGGATAATAGACTGCTGAAGCAGATTTTGAGAACTGAACAGATCCAGAAAAGCTTCCTGCGGTATTTGTCATTGGACTTGAAGAAGGCATAGAAATGTTCTTGCAAGATCCAAATGGTGCTCCAGCCTGTATAACAAGACAGGTTTCAAAATACAATCGCGTCACTGTAAGAGACAGACCAATTTCGGTGAAATGCTAGCCTTTTAATTTCAACCGCCCAAATTGCTGGGGAACACCATAAAAAGTTGTCAAAGGGAGAAAGGGATGGCAAAATTAAGTTCAAATTTGTGATTTTGCGGGCACGGGGATTTCTTCTAGTAACTTAAAACATTATCCTTTATCAAAAGATATGCAAGTATGACCAAGTTCACCAATATTCTTCCCCATCCTGCATTGGTGAATAGTTTTGCAAGTATGGCTAATCTGATGCAGAAGTAAGATTAAAATCAAGTTTATATACGGCTGAATTAGGATGAACTACAGCAAACAACAACCAGATGTTACAGACTCAACTTCAATAACCTTTGGTGAAGGTTTCACATGCAAAAAGTAAAAATAAAATTGTAGATTCCTTTGCCATACAATGGCAATGACATATAATGTTAGTAAGTGGAGTGATTTATGCAAAATAAGCCGTCAAATGACTACTAAAAGACAGAACTAAAGTTGCCAATGCTTTCCAAACAATTAAATTCAGTTTTGGACAAACCTGGCAGGCTGCAATAGTATATTGCATCCACATAATCTTTGTCCATTCATGCTACCCAAATCATAGAAACACCACCTCCATCACTCCTCTGCATGACTTATCCCGTGTTAGTGCGTTGCACATTTTAGAACAAAGTTATATATACAAGTTACAATTGAATACCATGTAAAAGTTGACAACTATGAAGTTTGGCAGCATGCTCCCAGCTGCTTTGAAGCAGGTGCCAATCATGTCAGCAAGGGGTGCTGAATGTTCTTTGCAAGCTTCGTTCTCAACCGGGTAAGTTGGAAAGTAATTCATGAGGAAAAGAGAGGCACTTTTTGAATTAAGCGGCCGCAATTCTTTCCTATTCGGGCAAGAGCCTGGCTTTACCCTAGGATCTCCAGCTGAATCCCAAAATATCATGAAGATGTTAATCAATAGTCGATAGCAAGTACAGCAATATGAACCTAGAAAAAATGTAATCATACGCATATAGTCATTAACTTCATTTTCTATTATGTACTTCCACTGGTAAGCAATTCCTTCCTCCTCTTCCTTCGAAACAACTGAGGTGAAAACCAAAAGCCTGTGATTTGCTTGCACCATTACATTCACAGTTGGCCAATCTTCACCTTTTTTTTGGCATCTTTGACACTGGAAACCAATACTTGTTCAGACCGGCACTCATGAAATGGTTACTCAGTCCTTTTGTTGTATGCACATAGTCCTAAATTATAATGGTTACAATTTCCGATGGATTCCGACTCAAGAATGCTTCCACTTCCCTCAAGGTGTTAATTACAGGTTGCTGAATAAAGATCCAATCAAAACACATTGCAAATTGGTATTGGAAAACTGGAAATTTAAAACTTAAAAAGAAGAGCACGCATTAGAACTGCTAGATTTCTAAGATGGAAAGACATTACAAAGGTAGTGAAGTTGAAACATTGTCCCCGGAATGAATGACAGAGCCAAATATCGTCGTTAAAATCGTACATGTCCAACATCAACCCCCTCACTCCATTCTAGACAAAACCAACCACATAGCAAACAAATTAGAATATAGAGAAATCTATTGTTCATCTGTTTCTTTAAAATGTAAGACAAGATGCACGCAAAAACCATTTTCATAGTTTAGGTAGGAGGCCATAAAGATGCTAAGTAAATGCTATTTAATACCAGACGGACAAAATCATAAATGAACCAAAAAAAAAGAAACTTTAATGTTATCAACTTACTAGACTATATGTAATTTAGCAGATCATCTCCAATTCCTCCTTTTTGTACTTTCCCTTGAGATTTTCAATGACTAACAAGGTCATTTAAAGGTGATTCAAAAGAATAGAAAGTACACACCATCAATTGATTAGTAACAGTGTCTTCTTGATTGTAAAATGTCAGTCTTTGAACACCTTGCAAAGATGTTGCATCCACTACGCTGAAGGATTTGTGAGTCATCAGCCATGAATATTTGTTGAAAGGCAACCCACCAACCTTCAACCCGAAATTCACACCAAAAATTTGAATGTCCATACGCAATTTGCTTAGAATAAAAAAATAGATATACAAAAGAAATGAAAAGAAAAAACAAAATTGCTAAAACACATCACCATAATATACACAGAAATGGAAACAAGGAGCCCCCTTACCAAAAGGAAACAAATTTAAACTATATTCTCAAAAACACTTGCAACAGAAGTGGGTATGATGGCTTGGCCTCTGGTACAAAAAGGTTGACTCTTGCCCAAAGCTAGGCAGTTCCCACTTCCCGCAATAAAGACCTGGACCACAATCTGTAGCCTGGGAACATGAATCCAGAACCTGCGACACGGATCATAGAGAAGAAAAAAAAGGAAATGAAAGAGAAACAGAGGAAGCAGAAAAAAAAACCTGGCAGTTTCCATTAAAACAAGCAGAGTAAATGGTGATGAAGAAAGAGAAGAGTAACAGGAACAAGTACCCAATTGCAGCAGTGGCTCTGCATAAGCTAAGGTAGTCCGTGAAACACGGCAACATTTGTGTTTTTGGCTTCTGTTTCTGCTTATGCAAAGCTCGAGAAAGAAAAAAACAAAAACAAAATATAAAAGCGAAGGAGAGCAGAGATGAGAGAAACTAGGGCGGTGTTTGTTTTTATTGTTTTAGCTTTTTAAATTTATTATGTCTGTGTCGTGTAAATATTAAACTTAGTAAATTGTTTGTTTTTTAGAATACAAAAGATCTTTTAATGTTTGTGTGTGATCTGTGTGATGTAGATGTGATCTAATGTCTGTAGACGTCTTCTAACCTCTTCAGAAAAGCTTTATATTTAATTTTATATTATAAATATTAATTTTTTAATATTATATTATAGATATTAATTTTAATATTAATTTTTAAATAAATTAAATATCAATTTTTTAATATTATATTATAGATATTAATTTTAATATTAATTTTTTTAAATAAATTAAATATTATCTTTTTAATATTATATTATAGATATTTAATTTTATATCATATAAATTATTTTATATATTATTAAAATTTTATATTTATTTTAATTATTTTGATTTAAGTTTAAATATAATATTTTTTTGGATTTGTTATTTTTAAATTATATTTAAATTTTTTTATAAGAAATGTAAGTATTTAAACCACATTGCTTAATAAAAAATGATTTTATTATTTGATAATTAAGATTTTAAAATATAAAAAATTATAAATTATGTTTTTAAAATTTTAAAATATAATCACAATTAAGTAAAAAATAATCATAAAATAATTTGATAAATTAAAAAATATTTTCTAAAAATATCATATAATTATAAAAATAAATTATGAATATATATTTAAAAATTAAAAGTATTACATAATTACATATTTAATAATAGTTTAATGATAATTAATGTTTAAAAAAAGAGAGGTGCATGATTCATTGATTAATAATAGTTTAATGATAATTAATGTTGTTGTGTCATATGATAATAAAATTCAAAATTATTATATAATTTTAGATAATTTAATGTTTAAAAAATCATATAATTTAATGATTATTTATAAATTTTATTCTATAAAACTTATAAAACTAATAATACATGTAATTATGTGAAACTTATAATATAATTATTGTGGTGTTTGTTTTTCTAAAAAAATTATTATTATAGTTATATAAATTATTTAAATTTTAATATTGTAAAACTAAAATTATTTAAATATCAGTATTACAAAACTCTTTTAAGTTTAAAAATCAGTTTATTTATATTTCAGTTTATTTTAACAATTTATAAACTTTAAAAAAAACAATATTCTTCTTACAAACTGTAAACTTTCGATTCACCTCTTCTATTATAAATATCTGTAAATATTATCCGCATACCGTAAACTTTTTATCGCTAAACCCCATCTAAGTAAAAGTTGAAGAGAACATTTTTACTGTGATGTGAGTGTGACGGTGACAAGTGACAAAAGGTTTTTGGATACTTAACGCGGGCTTTTTATATTGCTACCACCTTTTATTAAGGTGGTGCTCTTCTTTTTCTATGTTTTCACTTTATCTATACGGTATCGTTTTGCTTTTGATATAAAAGGTTCTATTCCCGTTATTTAATCTGGTTAGATGATTTATGTTTTAAAAAATCAAGGGTATCTTATGTTTAAATTATTTTAAACTAGGATAATTTTAAATTTAAATTATTTATTTTGTTGGTGATCTTTTTTTTTACGTTTGATCTATTTTACTCGAGATTATTTGTTCAATAGTTTTAAATTTGGACCATTATATGTAGATTATTTTAAATTTGAGTTATTTAAATTCAGATTATATCTCATTGTACTGTGTTATATTTAAATTATTTAATTTTATATTATTAAATTAAATTTGAATTGAGTTTAAAGTT